TGAGGGCCTTCCTTCTTGGTTGATTTTCCTCCAGAGATTCAACTGCTTCCTCTGGCTCCTGTCTCCCTCTTCCTCCTCGAGTCCACATGTGTGGCATTCTCCAGGATATTGGGCTCATAGCATCCCTAAACTTTTTTTTTTTGTAGGGACAGGGTATTGCTCTGTCACCCAGCCTGGAGTGCAGTGGCCTGATCATAACTCACTGCAACCTCGAACTCCTGGGCTCAAGCGATCCTGCCTCAGCCTTCTGAGTAACTGAGACTACAGTCACATGCCACCACGCCCCACTAATTTTTTTTTTTTGCAAGTGTGAAATGAAGTTTATTGGGGAAGGGCAAGATAGGTTTTCAGAGCAAGAACAAGATGTAGGTTTACAGAGCAAGAGCAAAATACGTTCACCACAATGAAAGGACCCCTTGTCGTAACAAAAGGGCTCTGATTATGGTCTGGAGTCTTGTTCTATAGTGTCTGGATTGGGCCCTCCTTGTCTCACTAATTTAAAAATTTTTTTAGAGAGACAAGGTCTTGCCTTGTTGCTCAGGCTGGTCTAAAACTCCCGGCCTCAAGTGATCCTCCCATCTTAGCCTCCCAAAGTGCTAGGATTACAGGTGTGAGCCATGACGCCTGGCCCTTCCCTAAACTTTTACTGCCACCCACAGGCCAACAGCACCCACATCTGCATCCAGGCTGGACCCTTCCCCTGAGCTTTAGCCTCCACAACCACGTGGGCCAAGGGCACACAGGCACCTTGACAAGGCAAAGCAGAGCTTGGTGCTTCTTCCAGCCCAAACCTGCTCCTCCCTCTCCCTTTTCCCACCAGTGGTACCACCTTAGGCTCAGAGGGTAAAAAAAGGAAGGCATTTGTCCTTGGCTGGGGTGGGTGGTAGGAAGAGTCTAAATTAGCCCAGACTTTTGGCTACTACAGAAAGGGTGTCTGAGTGAGTGGGGGAGTGGGCGTGGGATGGACGGCGAGCTTGGACATTTGAACAACTAAGGCTCTGATCAAAAGATTCGAAACATCTTTGAGTTTGTGGCTGAAGGTGAATGACGCCTGGGCTGATGAGGTCGAAGGAGTTGGTGGCTCTACAATTCAGGGGCATGGTATAGCTGGCTGAGAGGTTGGAAGCCTGTGCTCTAGCCCTTGCCCTGAAATTGGCTATGTCCTGATTCTCTGGGTTTCATTCTCCTCGTCAGGACAGGAGTGTTTGTTGGAAATGGATGAGATTAGCTCAAAGGATCGTGGCGGCTCAGGCTATAACATTTTTTTCAGACCTGAGCTCTTGGGAGAAAATGGGGTAAGGGGAGCTTGGAGACTGGTCTTCGGCCTGCACTGTTAACTCGCCCCCTCCTACTCCCCCACGGGGGCCTGGCTGGTGCTCACGTGCAATTATTAACTGCTGAGTGGCCTTCGTCCGATCCCAGCTCCACTTCTGGGCTGCATTCCCGCTGCTGGCCCCACTGCCCGTCTCCTAGGCCACTAAACCGCACCAGCCCCTGGAGTAAGGAGGGGAGAGTTTAGAGCAGAGCAGAAGCCTGAGCCAGCCTGACAGCCACCTCCTCTCCCAGGTATGGCACTCCCCACCCTCCCATCGGAGGCCACGTGTTAGGGTGCAAAGCCTAGTAGGTGCTCAAGGTGCGGGTGGACAAAGATTTCTCAGGCAGAGATCAAGATATATAAGTCAAAAAGGTTATCCTTTAGAAGGACAGAGAGAATGAGAGAGAGACAGAGAGAAGTTGGGGGAAGAGGGCAGGGAGACGGCATGGCATCCAAAGAAAGAGAAGGGAGATGCCAGCTGTGAGGCCAAGAGACTGGATGATTTTAAGGGGGACAAAGAGAAAAAAAAATAGTCATGGCTGTCAGTTGGTAACAAAAGTGGCGGCAGATAGATAACAAAAAACTGCAAGGATGTCAAAGTCCAAGACTTGATTTCCTGCCTTTCCTTGGAGAAGGAATTATCACAGGAGATGTGACTCTGTCCTCAAGATATGGTTTAGGCTGTAATTCGTTTTCTCCTGCTGTTTACTTAGTAACTCTGTAAAAACAGATTCTCAAAAAACAATTTTGAAAGAGAGAGATTTACACCTCTTTTCCGTCCATTCAGCTTTCTTCAGAAATTGTGCAAAACAGAACCCCTGCAGGGTACCTGTTAGTGAGAGAACTCACAGGATTGATCTTTAACTGTTACTGGGGAAATTGTGGGATTAGATATTTTCCTGTTATTTTTGCAAGGCCGTCCTTTTCCCACGCACTCTGTGATATTCCCGGTATGTGTTAAAGGATTAGCCGAGCAGGGAGGGCCCTCTGCCCAAAGCACAAAGAATCCTGAAGTGGAGACTGAGGCCCAGACCAGAGTGCGGCCTGCCCAAGGTTAAACTACAAGTCAGTGTCCACCCCCGAACTAGAACCGAGGGCTCTTGCCCTTCAGTCCAGCACTGAGTTCTCCGTGTTTCTAGTCTGGGGCCCCAAGGTGGGGGCCAGGGGTGATGGGTGGTTGTGGTGGGGTCACAGCTGGACTGAGATCTGCAGGTGAGACTAGGAAGATGAAGAAGGGGCTTACAGAGCGATGTAGGTCACAGGGAGAGAGTTCTGGCTACAGAAGCAGCTGCAGCAAGAGAGACTACAGACTGAACAGATGGGATCTATTTTCTCAGTCCCCACCCCCAGCACAGGGTGCCAACTGCCCCCATGAGAGCCCCAGCATGGTAAAGGTGCAGGGGGTGAAAGCCAAAGGAGCTCTGGCCTAGACTTGGGTGGTCCCCGCTCTGTGACTTGGGGCATGCTCTCAATCTGTGCCCAACTGATTCCATGTAGATTACACTGGCTGTCATTTGTTTGTTTTCTCTCCTACATTTAACCCCCTGATAATGAAATTAAGCCTTAAGACATTACAGTTGGCATCTATTTTCCCCAAGGCCAAGGTGGAGATGAAGTGAGGACTGGGATCTATACAGGCTGAACTTGAACCCTGTGCTCTAAACTCCTAGGCTTTGTTTCCCCCAAAGAACCTAGTCCAAGAATCACCTGGTGGTCCCTGACTGTAGATTTCTCTGGCCTGGCTCTCAAGGTGAGTGAGTGAGTGGGTCAGCAGAGGCATGACTGGGCCCTGGAATGGAGGCATTAGCAAAGAGAGAATGAATGAACACTGGGATAAATAGAGTAGCAAAATAATAGATTGTGGAGCTGGAAGGAGAGCTGGGTAGGAATTCAATTCCAGGCTTCCCAAACCCTGCTGTACAGAGTTGGCCCAGAGAACACCCCGCATAGAGCCCTGTCCAGGAAGCCCCGTCAAGACGCCTAAGTTCCGAGGGAGGTGGGGGCAATGCAGGTGCGAGGCAAGTTTGTGAGCTGGGGTGGCGCATCCACTTCATCAACTCGTGTGTGGATAATGGTTAGAGGGAGAGAGCTGTGGGAAATAAATTCTGAGCATTTCAAGAGAGACCGGGCACCTGGTGACCAGTTCCGAGGTCAAAGGATTGAAGTGCTATGTGGCCAAGAGGAGGCCAGCTCTGTGGTAGAGGGTTCAGGAACTTCCCAAGGCCTCAGGGCTGTTCAGCCAGCTGTCCCCCACTACCCTCTGTGCCCTGTGACATCCCCCAGATGTCCCACAGGGTTTCTGGGAGGGGCCTGCTGGACTAGCCCAAGTGATGACACTGGAAAGGGCTTTAAAAACAAAACAAAACAAAACAAAACAAAAACCCACACAACTTCTTGAGGCCAAAAGTTCAAGACCAGCCTGAGCAATATAGCAAGACTCCACCTCTACAAAAATGAGTAAAATAAAATAAAATAAAATTAGCTAGGCATTGTGGCATACACCTGTAGTCCCAGCTACTTAGAACGCCAAGGCAGGAAGATCACATGAGCCCAGGGTAAAGTATTTTTACTTTACTCCAACACTAAAGTATTTTTATAAACTTTTACACAAAGTCATTCGATGTTGAAAATCTGATCTGAAAATTAATGTGAGTTTTTATTTATCCCATCAGTGTAACTATTTCACCACAGAACATGTGCTTGATTGTTGGGTACATGTAAATCATATTACCTTAGTTTGCATTACCTTTCATGAAATCCTAAATGTTTTTAACTCTGAAACATTTACTTTGAAAGATTTTTAACTTAACTTTTTTTTTTTCTTTAATTATTTTGTAGAGATGGGTCTTGCTCTGTTGCTAGGCTGGTTTTGAACTCCTGGCCTCAAGTGATCCTCCCATCTCAGCCTCCCAAAGTGCAGGGATTATAGTTGTGGGCCACCATGCCCAGATAATTAAAAAAAAAAAATTCAGACATGGTCTCTCTCTGTCATCTGTGTTAGAGTGCAGTGGCATCATCACAGCTTGCTGCAGCCTCAAACTCCTGGGCTCACGTGATCCTTCTGCCTCAGCCTTCTAAGTAGCTGGGACTACAGGTGCATGCCATGATGCCCAGCTGATTTTTTATTTTATTTTATTTATTTTTATTTATTTATTTTTGTAGAGATGGAGTCTCGCTATGTTGCTCGGGCTGGTCTCAAACTTCTGGGCTTGATCCTCCCACCTTGGCCTCCCAAACTGCTAAGATTATAGGTGTGAGCTGCCAGGCCCAGCCAACGATTTTGAATAAGAGATTGTGGACCTTTGGCAAACTCCTGACTATTTCTGAGTTTTGTCCAAACCCCATCCCTTTCTTTCTTTTCTTTTATTTCTTTTTAAATTTTTTAAAAATTTAATTGCAGAAGCCATGCTAATCTCTGCATTGTTCCAATTTTAGTATATGTGCTGCTGAAGCAAGCGCAGCCCATCCCTTAATTGTATCATTTGATCTTCATGGCTACCTAGAGAAATCAGGGAGGGGCTCCAACTAGGGACCTTCCCTGGGCAGATGGTGTCCCATCCCACCCCTGATTGGCTCTGGGAAAACCCTGGGGGGTGGAGCAGGGAATGATCCACCCATGCCCCAGTCAAGGCTCCACCCCCCTGGAGCTGTGTCGACACCTTAAAGACCCAACTCTGCCTTCCTTGGTGCCATTAACCATAGCTCTTCCTCCAGTAGCAGCCATGGCCCAGTGGATGACAACACAGCTGCTGCTCTTTCTAGTGTGGATGGCTGAAGTAGGGGAGGCCCAGCCCAGGACTATTCGAATCAGGACTGAGCTTCTCAACGTCTGTATGGATGCCAAACACCACAAGGAAAAGCCTGGCCCCGAGGACAACTTGCATGAACAGGTGGGCCCAGGGGTGATCTGGCGGGGGAGGGACTGACTTGGGAAGAGGAGATCAGGAGATGGAGATATCAAAACCCACTCCATGGTGGAGGCAGACAGACCTGCTAGAGGGGACCTTCAGTTTGTATTAATGTAGGTGACTATTTTTCACACATAATGTGTGCCAAATGTCAGTACAATGCCAACAGCTCATCTTTTCGGTTGTTGGGTTTCCGCATTCCACAAATAAGGAAGCAGGCCCAGAGAAGAGTCTAGGAAATGAAGCTGGAGAGATTCATGCTGGGATTTTTTCAATTTTGAGGTTTAGAATGGGAGTGACTCCTCCAAAGATCTCACAGGAGAAACTGCACCCTGCATCAGAGTGCTTTCTTGTCTGCTAGCTCTAAATCGCTCAAGAAAGGTGGGTCTCGGGGCCGGGTGTGGTGGCTCATTCCTGTAATCCTAGCACTCTGGGAGGCCGAGGCAGGAGGATCCCTCAAGGTCAGGAGTTCGAGACCAGCCTGAGCAAGAGCGAGACCCCGTCTCTACTAAAAATAGAAAGAAATTAGCTGGACGACTAAAAAATATATAGAAAAAATTAGCCGGGCATGGTGGTGCACTCCTATAGTCCCAGCTACTGGGGAGGCTGAGGCAGGAGGATTGCTTGAGCCCAGGAGTTGCTGTGAGCTAGGTTGACACCATGGCACTCTAGTCTGGGCAACAGAGTGAGACTTTGTGTCAAAAAAAAAAAAAGAAAGTTGGGTCTTTCACAGTCATGCCACTGGGTGTGAAGCATCTTTTTATTTTTTTTTTGAGACAGGCTCTCCCTCTGTTACCCAAGCTAGAGTGCAGTGGTGTCATCATAGCTCACTGCAGCCTCGAACTCCTGGCTCAAGCGATCCTTCTACCTCAGTCTCCAGAGTAGCTGGGGCTACAGGCATGCACCACCATGCCCGGCTAATTTTTCTATGTTTTTTTTAGAGATAGGGGTCTTGCTCTTGCTCAGGCTGGTCATGAACTCCCGGCTTCAAGCAATCCTCCTGCCTCAGCCTCCCAAAGTGCTAGGATTATAGGCATGCACCACCACCCCCCTATGGAAGCATCTTGATTCATGAGTCTAGCAAAATTCTGGGCTGTGTTTCTCGACCCCTTTGGATCTGAGGTCTCCCTATAACAATTATTTGGCCACAACCTTTTAAATATCCTGAACCTAGCTAAACATTTTTAAAAAAATAAATATGATAATACAACCGTAAAGAAAATGCAAAAGAGGCTGGGCGTGGAGGCTTATACCTATAATTGCCTCCTTTGGGAGGCCAAGGTGGGAGGATCACTTGAGGCCAGGAGTTCAAGGCCAGCCTGGGCAACATAGTGAGACCCCATCTCTACAAAAAATAGAAAAATCAGCTGGGCGTGGTAGCACGCACCTATAGTCCCAGCTACTCAGGCGACTGAGGCAGGAGGATCACTTGAGCCCAGTAGTTCGAGGTTGCAGTGAGCTATGATGACACTACTGCACTCTACCCTGGGTGACAAAGAAGACTTTGCCTCTAAAACAACAACAACAGAAAAGTAATCTGTAATATGCATTTTCAGTATGTAAATGTTCGTTTTGACTCCATTAGCAGATAGGGGTCATAGTCCCGTTGGCTTGTTTGGATGAGCCTGCAGCTGTCAAGCGCAGACTGAGGAGTGGTGGTATAACCTAGACACTTCGGGCAGCCCTGGCTTTCACTTATTCAGCCTTTATTTTTTTCAAAAGTGCGCACTTTAATATTTAGCTTGTCAACCTTAAATAACAAGGTTATTCAGAAAGCTTGAGGATTTCCATCCGGGAGAATAGGTTCATGTTGTCCCGAATATACACTCCAATTTGCAGCAATTGCAAGTGAGTTTTTAAGAAAAAAGAAGAGGCAGTTTCTAAATTGTTTACCAAGAATTTATGTTAAAATAACACAAGCTATTGATTGGCCACATTGTTCTTTGTATCTACAAATTCCAGGAGTGTGAAGATAATGGGTGAGGCTGCTAGTCAGGAACAAAATGCCTTTCTTTCCTTTTAGAGATGAAGTCTTGCTCTGCCCTCCAGGCTGGAGGGCAGTGGCCCATCACAGCTCACTGCAACCTTGAACTTCTGGGCTTAAGTGATCCTCCCGCCTCAGCCTCCGGATTGTCCCTGGGCTTGGGTGTGGCGGGTGTGATTGAAGTACCATACTCTTATCAAAGTACCAAACTCTGGGTTTGACAAATTTTGCATACCTCAAAGAGCTCAGACTGCTCTGAGCTAGTTTTCTTTTCTCAAGCTTGATATTAAATTGTAGGCTGTGGGTTTTCATTCAATAAGTGTGTACTGAGTGTCTATGTAATTGGAATTATTCTGGGGTTACAATTTAACTTGCTTCCTCCCCTCCAAGTCTTTGTCACTTTCTAAAGGAGGCTTAATCTGACCACCCTATAACACTGCAAGTCCCCTTCCCTCTCCCCTGCTTACTTTTTGCCAAAGCAATTATCATGTGACAAGTGTTCATCATTGTATCCCCAGTTCCTAGAAAAGTGCCTGGGTCAGACTAGGTAGGGGAGCAATAAGGGTTTGAATTAATGAATTCTGTAATGACTGCGCCTTCAGGCAGGGGCTCCCTTCTGGGCTCCCACAGCCTCTGAGAGTCCCCCTGCCAAAGAGGTCCCCAGTAGCAAGTATTTTCCTGGATGACTTTGACTGGGTTGGTGAAACAAGGACTAAAAGGGGAGAGGCTGCACATAGAATATTCTGGCTGTACTGGCTGTGGACTTAGTCCTGTGTCTTCCCCCATCCAGTGCACTCCCTGGAAGAAGAATGCCTGCTGCACTGCCGACACCAGCGAGGAAGCCCACAAGGATATTTCCAACCTGTATAGATTCAACTGGGACCACTGCGGAAAGATGGCGCCCGCCTGCAAACGGCATTTCATCCAGGACACCTGCTTCTATGAGTGCTCCCCTAACTTGGGGCCCTGGATCAAGCAGGTACTAATGTCTTCCTGGCATCCCCAACCTAGCAGAGGAGCTGAGCTCTCCAGACATCTCTGCAGGCCGTACCTCCAGCTCTGGTGCTATTCAGGGCTGGGTTGCTGGGATTCCTGAGCCTGAGCCCTTCTCTACCCAATCTCCCAGGTGGACCAGAGCTGGCGCAAAGAGCGGATCCTGAATGTGCCCCTGTGCAAAGAGGACTGTGAGAGCTGGTGGGAGGATTGTCGCTCCTCCTACACCTGCAAGGGCAACTGGCACAAGGGCTGGAACTGGACCTCAGGTGAGGGTTGGGGTGGGGCAGGAAGGGAGGGATGTGGGGGTGTGGGGCTGTGGAAGAGGTATGTGAAGATTTGGGGTTGTCGGGCTGGCAGAAGCAGATAGTTCTGAGCCCAGTGGCTAAAGGTTGTTCATCCTCCCTACAGGGTATAACCAGTGCCCCGTGAAAGCTGCCTGCCACCCCTTCCCTTTCTACTTCCCCACACCTGCTGATCTGTGCAATGAGATCTGGAGTCACTCCTACAAAGTTAGCAACTACAGCCGAGGGAGCGGCCGCTGCATCCAGATGTGGTTTGACCCAGCCCAGGGCAACCCCAACGAGGAAGTGGCAAGGCTCTATGCTGAGGTCCAGAGTGGGGCTGGGCTCCGCGGGGCCTGGGCTCCCCTGCTCAGCCTGGCCCTGATGCTGCTCTGGCTGCTCTGCTGATCTCCTTTGCCTTTGACACCTGGACATCCCTGCCCTGTTCGGCCCCACAGCTCCTAGCCATTCAGTGCCTGCTCCACCGTCGGGCCTCTGACAGCCAGTTTAAATAAACCAGACACTCCACATATGTCTTGGGAATTACTTGGGTGTGAATAGGAATGTGACTATTTCGTTTCGCAATTCCCATTGATTGAAGCCAGTTCCCAACTCTTAACACTTACTGTGAACTAGCCTGATACTTCACTATTCTTATAACCTAGGAGACATCCATAGCTCTCAATTTCATTTTTTACTATAGCTCTAATCTTGAGCCAAGCCCAGGATTTTATCATTTATATCAGACCCAAGCCTCCCAGGTTGATTGCTCTGCCCCATGCTCAGCTCTCCAATAGAAGAGATAGGAAAGGCTGTGCCCAGCACATTCTGGTTGGGTGGCTGGGAACAGGATAACAGGCCAGCAAGAGCCGTGCCCCACTAACAGCTAATACTCACGGAGCACTCACTATCTGCCAGACACTACCCTAAATTTTTTTTTTGAGACATAGTCTCACTCTGTCATCCAGGCTAGAGTGTAGTGGTGTCATTGTAGCTCACTGTAACCTCCAACTCCTGGGCTCAAGTGAGCCTCCCAAGCAGCTGGGACTACAGGCACGCACCACCATGCCTGGCTAATTTTTAAATTCTTTTGTAGAGATGGGGTCTCACTATGTTGCTCATGCTGGTCTTGAACTCCTAGCCTCAAACAATCCTCTGCCTCAGCCTCCCAGAGTGCTAGTATTATAGGCCTATATTCTTTATATATTTATTCTGATAAGGTATACACACCATTGTCTGCATTTTACATATGTGGAAACAGACACATAAGTTAAAGAATATGGCCAAAAAGTCCCCTGTGTAAGAGCTAGAATTCCACCCCAGGCAATTGGGCTCTTGAGAACAAGCTCACTCCCCTTGTAGAGTGAGTAAATGTCTAAAAGAGATGACACATCCATGCCTGATGGGAGCAGCTGGGCCTGAGCTGGTCTGGCAGAGCTAGAACTGGAACCCAAACTTAGTCTCCTGAGCAGGTCCCAAACCAATAATTTGGAAGATGTTTAGGTCGTGTTCCCCATTAGGTATAGTTTGTAGCAGTTGTAATAAGCTAGGTTATGTCACCTTTATTTCCTGCATAAGCTGCAATGTTTAATGTGGATTATCCAGGGGATTCTGCTTCTCACTTGGACCCAGGCTGATACAGACGCCATCTCGTCACGTACTTCCATGAGACAGGATAAGGGAACTTGGGGAATTCCATATAGATTCTTCAAGCTTCTACCCATCACTTTTGTTGGCCAAATCAAGTCATGACCTGCCTAAATTCCAGAAGGCCAGGAAAATACAATCCTGTTTGCCTGGAAAGAGGAGAGTTACAGGTTTGCCAATAGACCTAATGACTACTATGAAGAACTTGTTACCTTCCGGTCAGTTTATAGTTCTGGTATGGTCATTGTTACCAATTTAATTTTTCAATTAGATCCTAGTAAGGAGAGCCAGCTCTTTCAATGAATGCAATTAACTATATCAACCTGAAAAGCAGAGCAATCCGCGAATGACCAACCTGAGGTAGTCTTGCAGACAAGGCCAGTTGATGTATCCTATTCTCTCCAGGACCAGTGACACTTGTTACAAATATGATTTGTCTACAGATACATTGGAATTAGTGGAATTTAAGATCAGTACCATCCCAATCCATCGTACCTTGTTAAAGGCCTGGTATGCTGTTTCTGAGCCATTGATAAAAGTATATATCTGAATGCTACTTTCTGCAGTTGTCATCCCCAAGTTCTAAGGAGTCGTTGGTTCGCAGAATGTATTAATACTTTTCCACATTAAGATTGCCTGGAGCAGGCCGGGCGCGGTGGCTCACACCTGTAATCCTAGCACTCTGGGAGGCCGAGGCGGGAGGATTGCTGGAGCTCAGGAGTTCAAGACCAGCCTGAGCAAGAGCGAGACCCCGTCTCTATTAAAAATAGAAAGAAAGTAGCTGGACAACTAAAAATATACATAGAAAAAATTAGCCGGGCATGGTGGCGCATGCCTGTAGTCCCAGTTACTCGGGAGGCTGAGGCAGGAGGATCGCTTGAGCCCAGGAGTTGGAGGTCGCTGTGAGCTAGGCTGACGCCACGACATTCTAGCCTGGGCAACAGAGTGAGACTCTGTCTCAAAAAAACAAAAAACAAAACAAAACAAAAAAAACAAGATTGCCTGGAGCAGTAGTACTGGCATAAGGATAGACATACAGATCACTGGGACAGAACTGAGGGTCCAGAGATAAATCCTTATATTTATAGTTAATTGATTTTTGACAAAGGTCCTAAGGTAATTCATTGGGGAAAGGATAGTCTGTTCAACAAATGGTGCCCAGACAATTGATTATCCACATGCAAAAAGATTAACTTAGACCTTTACCTCACACCAAACACAAAAATTAACTCAAAATGGACGATTGGCTTAAATGTAATAGATAAAACAATAACATTTTTAGAATAAAACAGGAAAACGTCTTCTACATCCCATGTTAGGCAAAGATTTATTAGATTAAAACTTCCACCCTTATTTATTTCTTTTTTGGGGGGTGGTTAAAAACTGTTTTTGTAGAGATGGGGTCTCACTGTGTTGCCCAGGCTGGTCTTGAACTCCTGGACTCAAGCAATTATCCTGCCTTCTGAGTAACTGGGACTACAGGCAAAAGCCGCCATGTCTGGTCCTTTTATTTCTTTTTTGGGCCAAAAGTATAGTAAGTCAATGCAAAAACTGATAAATTGGACATTATCAAAATTCAAAATTCTTACACTTCAAAAGACACCATTAATAAAATTAAAAGATAAGTAACAGACTGGAGGAAATATTTGTAAAACATATCCAATAAAAGATCTGTATCCATAATATAAAAAGAGCACTTACAATTCAATAATAAGACAACCCAATCGAATAATGGGCAAAAGAAAGAACAAATATTTCATCAAAGAAGATATTCATTTGAGTAAATTAAACATTATAGCAAAACTTACACATGGATGTCCATAATGTTATGTGTCATTATTCATAATAGCCCCAAGCTAGAAATAACCTAAATTTACATCAACTGGTGAATGGATAGACAAAATGTGGTATACTGAGGCAATAGAATACTATGCAGCAATAAAAAGTAACAGACTATGGACACGTGCTGTTATAGAGAAGCCTCAAAAACATGATGCTAAGTGAAAAAGCCAGACGTAAGAGACTTCCTATTGTATGATTCTCCTTATATGAAGTGTCCAGGAAATGCAAATTTATAGAGACAAAGTAGATTAGTGATTGTCTGGGGCTGGGAGTGGGAACAGGAGTTAACTATAAATGGGCATGAGGGAAGATGAAAATTATTGGGGGAATGAAAATGTTCTAAAACTCATTTATCATGAGGTTGTATTAGTCAGCAAAATCATTGTAAAGTTAAAGCAGGCAAATTTTAGGATAAGTAAAATAAATAAATAATACATAAATAAAATACGGCCTATAGGATACTCTCCCATAGCACACAGGGAATTTTACATGATTCTGAGTTCTTGTGGGGTGTGCCCACAAGGGAAAGTATTCTAAGGAATTTAGCATATGGCTTTATAAAAATCTATCATCTGAGACAAACTCTATTCCATCATGAACTTCAAGAGATTGGTTGGAACAAGCTGGCAACAAAGGACAGAGTCTATTCTTGGTGTAGATGGAGACAACACCAGTAGAGACATTTAGGAGAGTGGCCTGTTGACCAAGGATTTTTTTTTAAGAGAGAACGTTTATTCCAATTGGCACAAGTGTGGTCTGCTAAATTGAGCACTAGAGACCAGAGGAAAGAAAATGTGCTGTATCATATGACAAAAATAAATAAATAAATGAAAAAGAACATGAAGTATCTTACCAAAAATACTAAGACAATAACCACAATCATCTGTCCTTCATTAACTTTACTCATCTCTTTAAAAGTATTTTTAGTTACATGTTCTTAGATTAGCATTTTCCTCTGTAGAAGTCTTCTGCTTTGGGGCTGAAATTTTGCTGGAAATCCCAAGTCTCAGGACTCTGGTAGGTTGACTCAACTAAGTGTTACTTTATGGTGGTGATGTCAGATACACAAGTCTATTTTCTGTCAATAAAGTATGGCAGGTATCTATAGACAAACGAGAGAACAATAGAAACCAGCTATTGACAGTACCAAATCATGTGGATAATCTATTAACTTTCTTTTCTTTTCTTTCTTTCCTTTTTTTTTTTGGAGTCAGAGCCTCTCTCTGTCACCCTGGGTAACGTGGAGTGGCATCATCATCATAGCTCACAGCAACCTCAAACTCCTGGGCTCAAGCAATCCTTCTGCCTCACTCAGCCTCCCCAGTAGCTGGGACTACAGGCACACGCCACCACGTCCAACTAATTTTTCTACTTTGTGTAGAGACGGGGTCTTGCTCTTGCTCAGGCTGGTCTTGAACTCCTGGGCTCAAGCAATCCTCCCGTCTTGGCCTTCCAGAGTGCTAGGATTACAGGCGTGAGCCACTGCACCTGGCCCAATCTATCAATTTTCAAGATCAGAATGAAAAAGAGAAGAATATTCACCGGAGTGTAACACATAACAGCACAGACCTACTGGTGACTGCTATAGTTCATGAGGTCTCCATTGATGGCTACTTTGAGGAGAACATATTAGAACCTGGGGGAGGAAAGGGGGACAGGGAGAGTTAGTTTTCTCAGCCAATGTAACTAACTTATTTTTGATAGTTCCATTTGTCCTCTATTTGCTTGAGCTCTGTGGGTGATATAGTGAATGTATTTACACATCTTGAGGCTCTTACAGTCCATTTTATAAGATGTGCATCACAATTGCTACCAATAATAAAGGGGATGAAATCATCGTGGAAATAAATTTGACAGTCATCATGTAAGCCCTTGCACGTGAATACAAGTATGTTTTTATCCTTCCAGGAAGGTCCACAATCACAGCCACAGCACTTTACCTTGCATAAAAATCATCTAGAAGGGATGAACCCCTCTTTTTGCTTTGACATCTTTCTCTACATTGTGGACATGGTAGCTAAGTCAGCTCTTATAATACTGAGAAACTAATTTTAAAAATATG